GTTTGCTGTGGCTGAAATACTGGAGGCTGAGACACATAGTCATCAACAGACTGATTTTGTTTCCACAGCTGCTGTCTTTGTTCTATACGGGGCCCTTGCTGCTGATCATTTTGGATTATACTCGGACCACGAGGCTTTTCATATCCTGCAACACCCCATTCTGGTGACCGCTGGTAACTCTGAGGTAGATCTTTTGAAGATGGTTGTGTTGCGAACACTTCTGATTTCTGACCGGAGACTGCAAAACATTGCTGAGGTACCGATACAGGTTGCTCTATTGTCTCTTTAATTTGTGCAGTGTCCTCACTGAGACTTCTTAGTTGTGACCAAATATCTTGTTTCGTCTGTTTAGCATGGCACTTCAGTTCAGAGGAGTGTTCTCCTAACTGTGCACAACTGACAGTAGCAGTGCGGTCGGACCCACATGCTTTACGTTTGTTTTGTTTTTCTGTTTCATTTGTGCATGCTATGTTTAATCTTTCAAGAAGCACTTCATCCGTAATGTTGGGGTCTAAGAGGTATGGCTGAAGATCATGCTGAATACGGTCACTTTGCAACCCAGTGAGAACAGCATGTAGAAACATGCTTTGAACAAGGGCAGGATCATATTTTAGTCCAGACTCAGCTTCTTGAGAGGCAAACAGAATGTTCTGCCTTAAGTCCAGCGTGCGTATTAGGACGCTTTGTGGTGACTCTTTACTGCGCTGAGCTTCTGTAGTGAGCTGTTTATATAAATCTGTTGCCCCTTTCTCTTGATAGTGAGACCGAAGAATTCGTCTGAGGGTGGGCAAAGTCAAGTCTGCTTTCCCCTCTAAGTAGCTGCGCAACTGAAGCCCTGGTGTGACAGCTCTGATTACTGCATCAATGATTTCCTGCTCTGAATAGCCCTTATTCAGTCCGGTTTCAATCTGACGAGCAAGACTGGAGAATGATAATCTATCTTTTTGGCCAGGTTCACCGATTTGACCAGATAAGTCTCTATGCCACACTGGCTGAAGGGTTTGTCTTGGTTCTATGTACTGAGAGTTGGCAGGGTTAACTCCAGAAGCCATTTGTATTGCATTCATATCTCCTGGAGAGTTGCTGTCGTGACTGGAGAGAGCAGTTATTTCACTCTGTTTCTGTTTTAATGATTGTAATTGTAATGTACTGATTTCGTGTTTGAGTTTCTCTTTTTCACTACTCATTGACTCTCCTTCAGCAGTGTTCATAATAGGAGCAGCCACTAATTCGTTCAACTTTTCCCTAATACTTAAGAGCTCAGCCGTGCCACAGTTCTCTAAGTCCCCTAGCTTCTTTTGCACAAGATGATTACTAATCAGGGATATGAGGGACAGGTGTGTACTGCTTGCTAGACCTCCACTATGAATGTCGAGGAAGCTGCTGAGTACTATGAGCTTCTCTCCGGATAATGTGCACAATATTTCAGCAGTTTCCTCCTGAGTCTCCATTAGTGCATCCATTCCTGCAGTGTGAGTGAGTAGTATTGTTGTGGCTGGACAGCGACTTTAATACTGACCGGACTTTGCTGGCTCTAGCACACCTTGTACCTCAAGTGCATGCACTGCTCCGTCAGCTGCCTACTTCACCTCCACCTCAGTGTCCTACCCCACTCTGCTGCTGGCTTGGGTGTTTATAAAGGGTGTGCGTAACAAGGAAGACTGCTGCCTGGTATGGACTTAGCCCCCCTTTACACACATCCCAGCGGTGCCTCCAAAATTGTAGTAGCCCTGTAAAAGGGAAGATAATTAAAGGACAAACTCTCTGTTGTGCTTTCTCTTCTCTGTCTTTACAGCGAATGAATTTCAAATACATATTGTACAAGATGTACATCTAGCTTATGCTTACATTACATGTGCCAAATTCAGTATTTTCCATTCATACTTTCTTTATCTTTTCGTCATGAAATCGATGAAAACAAAAACATAACAAAAACAGGCAAGCTCGTCACAGGAAAGATTGGATTAACATGTCAATTGTTATTTTTCCTCTAAACCATTCACATTCAACTCTTATAAACCAAAATGCAACTACAATAATGTGTAAATTACTATGTTTCAACCATTGCAATCTGACATTCAGAAGTATGTAGGTTACTACTTTTTAACCAACCGTATTCGGCATTCGCACACACTATTCTAATAAACGTAGCACGCAGTGTACCTCGTGGTCTTTTGCTAACCATGGGAGGTTTAGGCGCTTAGCCATTTCACCGCTCACAACAACGAACATATTTAACTACATACAAAACGCTTTTCCATCACAGAACACACATTAAGTATGGCTATATACTGGATTCAACTTGTTCCTAGAAAGAAATGTTTATGCTTTGTGTGTTTTTATCTGTAAAAGGGAAGATAATTAAAGGACAAACTCTCCGTTGTGCTTTCTCTTCTCTGTCTTTATAGCGAATAAAGAGAGGCACAGCTTGGCTGACACAGGCATGAGCAATCGATCATCGATAGTCTTTTCAATCCAGTATATAAGCCAATACCTAAAGACAGCAGATCAGTTTCTTTTTTTACAGGTACCAACATGTTTTGATAAAGACCAATAGATTTTAACCCCAAATCCTCCCTTTTAGCTAGCTGCCACAGACATCAAGAAAATAATGTGTCAAACATGAATAAGAATTAAAAGATCTGAAGCAGCTTGATTTTCTTCTCTTTCTCAAAGATGAAAGCTTTAAGTGCTGTTTATCTGATGGGGGCAGTTTTGGTGTCTACCAGGTCTTCCAGGTGGTTGTTAGGAGCCCCGTTTTCTCTGTAGCTTTTAATTCATTTTTTTGCTCCATTTTTGAAAACTCATGTTTTCTTTATTTCTTTTACTTTGACCTACAATTCATTGTATAATTGTAACAGTGCTGGAGCGAGCATTCAGGAGAGTCGGGAGAATTAGGTAGCCTCTGGTGCCACTACAGCAACCGAGACCCCAATGCGTTATGGCAGCCCCCCTACAGTACAGCAGCCCCCTTCAGTTAGCCCACTTTTTTCTCAAAATATAACTTTCTTCTCGAAATATTACGACTTTTTTTCTTGAAATTTTATGACTTTATATTCGAAATTGTATGATTTTCTTTCTTGAAATAGTAGCACTTTTTTCTTCAAGTCTACTGTTTTTATTTTTATTAACAGTGACCCTAAAACGCCATCGTATTTACTGAAGCAGGATCGTGCAGTCGGTAAAAGCGACCGACATTGCCAAATCAGGGCTGGAATAAAACCACTGAGAAACGCCTGTAAAAAGTGACATTACCTCACCTCCTCATGTAAAACTAATCCCGTCAGAATAGTGCTTTATACAGTAACACAGACATCCATACATCCATACCTAAACTCACGTGCACAATGTCACTGTCATGCAAACACACATTTTATTGGTTCTGCTTGTTATTTGCTTACAGAAAAATGTTTGAATACAAAATCTCATATGAGGAACTGAAAATGATCTGTAATGAAAATTACTTCTGGGGAAAGAAACAAAAGTGCTTCAGGCCACCCTCACCTACCGAAATAACTGCACAAGAATGAACCCCACCTAAATACCACAATGACAAATATGAAAATGTCAAAAGCTATTTCTTTTATTTTCATACAGAGAATGATTGATGTGAGTCAAGGCCTGTTTCACAAGTGCTATTTCTGTGTAGTGTGAATGGCACACAGAGAATGTGTACAGGTGCAAGCATACCGTAGTCATTACAATATAGCTCCAATTTGACATTATAATGGACTTGCATTGTTCCCACAGATACGTCTGTTTTTCCCCAAAAACATGCTGAAACATGGACTCATCTGACCACAGCATACATTTCCACTGTCTTTCAGACCATCTGAGATGAGCTCAGGCCCAGAATTGATGTATGGCTTATATTGCTGTATCTCTGGATTGCATGATTTCAGTAGTATTGTGACACCAGTACACAGATGTACTAAGCCAGGGGTGTCCAAAGTGCAGCCCCAGGTCCAAATGCGGCCTGCAGATAGATTTTAAGTATAAGTGGCTCGCCAACCATTACATTGCAGATTTTCCTTTCAGCTGATGGTGGAAGCAGTACTGTAGAATTACAATGTAATGTGCTGCACTGTTAACATTCTTAGCTCAAGTATAAGAGCCTTTCTTCTCTGACTAGCCCTGCAACTTAATGTCATTACCGAATGACATTTGGTCAAAACTACCGCCACAAAGCACAAACGTAACATTGAAGAGTCACAGTGAATGTGCCTCATATTTCAAATGACTAACAAATTTAATATCAACAGACGTGAAACAAAGAATGAACGTTTTGAATCTTTTATGCAGTGAGAGGAAACAGTAGCAAACAGAAAGGTCCAGTTCTAAGCATTGAGACATTGTACTCTGCATAAACACACATGCTGTAACTCTGCTGGCATCAAATTGTCAGAATGGACACTTGGTTTGTTTCAAAATGGTTGTATTATTCCTATTTTGGAAATTTTATATTTTTAATCATTTTGTAAATAATATTTCTATTTTTACTTGGTGTGAACTGGATGTCTTTGACACTGAAGTTTGGACACCCCTGCACTAAGCCATACTGCCACTTCTAACATGTATAGAAGTTAAATACTCTTATAATTCTCTTACAATAAAACTTAAAATTACTAATATTAGACATATCGACCTAAGATGATTGCATATGTCAAGATATCATGTTATGTAGTGAAAGCACTGTAATTAAGCACAATAATTAAGAAGCTTAAGGCTCACCCTGCTATACTGACATGGTGATGGGCCTCCTCTCCTCCAGTGCCAGAGGGCTTGATGAGGAGGAAACAGGTCATACTTCATAGTGATGTCGTGTGAGCTGATTCCGAACTCCTCAGGGGGTGTAGAGTGAGGGTGGTATCATGTGCTTATCAAAAGAGAAATAATTTTCCCGCCGCAGCAGGTTCATCTTGATTGACAACTACATATTTCAGCTGCCGTAGCACGTATAAATACAGGCAAACAGTGATGCTCCACTCATCAGCTGTCGCATTGCTCCAGACACAGCGCTACCAGACTGCAACTCAGTAAGACATTGTGTGTTCCACTGACTTTTAGTTGTATTTTTAAAATCATAGTGCAGTAGTAATGATAAAAATACTACTAATAATAATATTAATAGTAAAAAAAATTATACTACCACTACTACTTCTATTACTACTAACTTTAATAATAATAATAATAATAATAGAAAACTATGATTATACTACTGTTGTTATACTACTGCTACTACTAATTTTAATAATTATTAAATTATAATTGTAAACTATGAGTTTAGCACCATTGCTACTACTACTGCTACTACTACTAATTTTATTATTATTATTATTATTAATATTATTAATAATAATAATGTTAATAATAATCAACTACGATTATACTACCGTTGCCACTACTACTACTGCTACTACTACTCATTTTAATAATAAATACTAATGATGATGATGATGATGATGATAATAATAATAATAATAATAATAATAATAGTAAACTATGAGTGTACCATCATTGCAGCTACTACTACTACTTTTGATAATAATAATTATTATTATTATAATTATTTTAAACCTTTTTGAGGATGTAATTGTGATTCAGGCTTGTAAAATCTAATTTAGGGCTTTAGGTTTACTCTTTATATCAGGAGCTTGGGCTGCAGGACAGGCAGGACATCTAAGATTTACTAAATACTAATTCACTATTGTTCTGGAAACCTCCAAAATGTCTGTTCATCAAGAACCTTCAGAGCAGAAATAGGCAGAATATTCACCAAAAAAGAAAAAGATGATCTGCCTCTTCATCGTTTGTATCAGGTGTAGATCTAATACGACGCCCGTGCTGTCCATCCACTTCCAACAGGAGCAAATCAGGCAGCGGTGCTGAAGTGTAGTGACCCTGTCTCCTCTGTCTTAGACCAACTGTTATTCAAACATGCAGATTAGTACTTAGCATTTGTGAAATTAGTCATTTTACTATTCACTGTTTTTCTATTTCGAACAATGAGTTAAATGTAGAACCATTTCACGCTTAAATGGTTCTTTGCCTGGTGAAATGGTTCTTCAGATTGACTGAAAGTATGTTACATATGATTCTATATAGAACCTTTTTGAAAATGGGTTCTGCTATTGTCACAATGTCAAGTTTGTGATTGTAGAAGAACCTTTTTGGTGCCATGTAGAACCATGTACAAAACATTCTATGACAGTCTGTGCAAAGAACCATTTTATCAGGCAAATGGTTCTTTGAGTGTTCAAAGTTCTATATAGAACTATTGTCTTTGCTAAAGAACCCTTGAAGAAGCATCTTTTTAAGTGTGCAGTTCAGCCAAGGCAAAGCTGGATTAGTGCAGCAACAGCGCCTCCCCCTGTTCACACCCTGCAATCACAGTATATTGGGAATTTGGAGGCACCATAGAACAGCTGAAAAGCACATGCTGCCTCAAAGTCCTTCAACAAACCTGCAGAGATGACATTCATCCGTCTGAACTGAGTGATGAAACTGAGTGGAACCAACATGCTTGTTAAACTTTGCGGCACAGTTTACATTTTGACTCCAGAAGTGTATGTAGAATATCTGCTGTAGGATTGGATTTAGATTGGACACTTGGCTGCTTTTCCAGCCAATGAGCCGAGTCTCTGAGAACGCTGTATGAAGAAAAGTCCTAATCTCTGGGAGGAGACTATAACAGAGAACTTGTAGAGAGGAGAATTTCCACTCTGTAATGTCTTCCGAGTTTCTCAAACGCTAGAGGGCGCTCCTGAGCGAGTCCAAAATGAATGAGTTGATATGGAGCATTTCAGCAAAATCATAGTTTATAAACACTTAACCTCTTATTCTCCAGGATATATTTTGGTTTGTTCATCTGAATTTACATGACCAAATCATAAGGCAAATTATTCAGTAACTGCATGAAATAAATGTAAATTTGTATCTTATTTATTTATTTATTTATTTATTTTAAAACCTCCCCTCAAATTAACAGAACGTGTTTTATGATCATACACATATTGCTATATGCTTACAATTTACTGCTGAAAGCCAAAAATCTTAGACGCTCTTTGTATTATTTTATATAAATAATTTTTACAGAGCAGATCACTGAAGAGACGCCATCTGATTATAGTTTATAGCCCAGATTTGTGGAAAAATGGGTCGACTTTCAGTAGAAAAACTGTGAGTTCAGCTTCTTTTATTATAAGGGTTTAAAATTACATCACCCACCAATTTGACTGGAAAGAAGATAGTTCTGGATAAGTGATTAGAAACTATTTTAACTTTTTTAACTTTTACTCCCATTCATTGAGGACTCCCTCGTGGGTGCCCTCTGCTGTTTGCTGGTCCAATTTTTGATATAATGGGGAAGTAGGAAGTGGCCAGGCTCCTCATAAACCGGCTCTGACTGTAAGCTCAAACAAGTTAATATAAGTTCCTAAAAATATCAGGTTAATAGTTTCCCTAAAAAAGTTAAAAAGTTACAAAAGTTTAAGTTCAATGTGCACAAGAGACTAAACACTGCATGTTAGAATAACTTAATCATGTATCATGAACGCATCTTTCCGCAACTGTAACGTTCTGATTTTGATTTTAACCTGAAATCTCAAATTAAATTCCAAGTTCATTCTTTTTTTTTTTTGAATGAAAGGATTCATACAATAACATCACTTACGACAACCAACAGCCAGGGGTGTGCTTACACGTTCAATAAATCATAATCAACATATAATTCCAAAGTCCTTTTTGCTTTCTTGTTTGTTATATTTTTTAAAGAAGTGCCATATTCCTTCAGCTCACAGAGGAAATGTGTAAAGTTTGGCTTATAATCAGACCATCTCTTCTTATGTAAAGGATACGTACCCATAATAATTAAGTATTGTACAAAAAGAAATACTTAAACATCTAATCTGTCAATAGTCTTTCTTCTCACAAAGTTTTCCGCATCAATTCGAAACACTTCAGTATGAGTACATTGGTAAAACAGATCAATAATTGTTTCCTTTTCTAAGCCACAAAAGGTGCAGGATATTCATTAATACTTCTAAATCTCTCTAAAACACTTTTAACAGGGTGGATGTTGTGTAAAATGTTAAATGTCACTTCCTTTATTTTATTATTCATACAATATTTATCACAAATTGTCTATACTGTATTCCAATTTATGTTCCCAAATACAAAAGACCAATATGGTTGTTTGTAAATTCTTTCATCAGATATTACTTTCCTACTATACCTATTTGTACATTTATATTTAAGGATATCAGTGTCCCCAATAAAAAGACCCTATGACATCCCTATGACATCCATATCACTATTTGCTGAACGCTTAAGAAGCTGTAACATTTGTTGTGGTACAGCGTCAAAAACTATGGCGTATTCTTTAGTTGTGACTGGCTCTCCAAATTTATTAAGAAATTCACTACGTCAACAAAAATCCATCAGCATTCAAAAGTTGTTTCACTAATATAATATTATTATCAAACCATTTTTTAAAAAAAGAGAGATTTATTCTTAAAATGGATATTCCTACTATTCCAAGTAATGCCTTTGAGGAGAAAAACTATGCTTATAAGCCAGTGTCTAATTTCAGGTTCATTCAGCGGTGCTGTGACTGTTTTATGATGACGTAACAAAGCCATAACCGATCCAGCGAAGGCAGTAAAACACGTTTTTAAACACTTTTTAACTTGTAAAGCACATGAACCAAAGTATTTAACTGTACTGACTTGATTTCATTTGATTCGTCTTTGTGGTGATGAACCGAAAACTGTAATCTAAATGGCTGAGATTATTATTATTATCTTCGCGTTCCAAACCGCATACCAGCTCACTACGTAGTGTACAATGATAGTGCTTATACCATTAGAAGTGCTCTCATTAGTGTAGTAGGTGAAGTGCAGAAGTGTGTGGTTTGGGATGCGACGGCGCGATCAGCAGCTTAGATGGCTGATTATAGCTTCGCTGTGCTGCACATTAACAGCCACTTTTTTAGTTTTATGAAATTTCACACACTGGAAATGCTCTGGACTCTGGAGAAATGCAGGTTATAGTTACAAATCCACCAAGCTAATCTCCTCAGCGTTTTCCGGAGTCTGTGTTTAAAGCATCTGCATGTCTTTACATCATTTTAGTGGTCTTTCTGGCCTATTTTGCTTTGTTTTTATCCACTTGCGGGGTTGTAAATGCAGTGACAGTGATGAGACGAGCTCTATCAGAGCGCAGGCAGAGTTACAGTAGAGCCGGTTTATGAGGAGCTTGGCTTCTTCCTGTTTTTCGCCAGAGGGCGCCCGCAAGCAAATCCTCAATGAATGGGGGTGAATCTAGCTAAATGGCTAAAAACGAAAAGTTTAAATAGTTTCTAATCACTGAACCAGAACTTTCCTTTCATTTTAGAAAGTAGAAGAATGTATTTCACTAAAAAAAGAAAGAAATCTTACCTGTATATTTACTTTTTTTTTTTTTAAGCAAACAGGTTTTGGGCAGCAGAATGCTAGCATTACTGCTATTGAGTGCTGATTGTTTAGCATTACTGCTACTGTGTGCTGATTGGTTGGCGAGCGGAGCAGCTCATTGGCTGTTCATGCTCACTGACGTCATGAGATGTCGTTTTAAATTCCTATAACTCATTTAAAAGTTCAAAAGCTCTTAAAAATATAACAGCAGTGTTAAAATGTTTTATCCTGTTCAGTGTTCAGGAAATGAATGTGTTCTTTTACATTAAAAATGTTTCAGCATTTATAAACTATGATTTTGCTCAAATGCTCCATCTTAACCCATTCATTCTAGACTCGCTCGGGAGCGCCCTCTAGTGTTTGAGAAGACTTTAGAGTGGTAAATCCTCCTCTCTGTAAGTCTCTGGTTAGAGCTGACATGGTCGTCTTAATGACGTAGTTGAATACCTTAAAAAGCTAATTACATAAGTAGTATTGACAACTTGGCCAAACACTAACTGGTTAACTCTGGTCACTGTAGAGCCCCACCAGTGTAGGACACACTCAGCAGCAGGGAGGATGCCAGTGCGCCCTTTAAGCCAGTGACACAAGTACAGGCATTTAAGCAAATATGTGAAATTAGACGCCTAAGGGAAAGTAGTGTGGGTGGAATATAAACACATTGACAGTAAGTCAGAAAAAAAGCAAAGAAATGCCCAGCGTGAAAATAGATGGAGCCAGAGGCAGGAAATAGTGATGAGATTGTGTCAACCTGACAGACAGGTCTTTTAGGTAAACTTAGTGTCACTCAGCAGAGTTACATTAGTGGGAAATGAGAAAGCTGCAGCCGTGCAGTATCATTTGTCGAATATGAGGTTTCAAAGTTGCCACTGGCAACAGACTGCATTGCAATAAGTTGTTTCAACTCAAAAATGCCATTTGAGCATAGAGAATTATCAATACCGTTCCCTGAACTTAAAATAGGTGAGTAACGTGTGGAGTAGATTGGGTTTTATGCAAAACAGACTTCATTTATTTGGATTAAAACAAAGAGTAGGATTCTGTACAGCAACACTTTGCTCCTGTTTATTTTGCTGTTGTTTGCTCTATTACAGTGTCAGTGTTAAGATGCACCAAATATGAGCTGATACAGTTTTGATAAGTGTCATCTGTTTATTAGTTTACTGAATTCCAGCAGTACAAAAAATCGAAATCACACGGTGCTAAAAGAACAGATAAACTTTCCGCATGCTGGAAAATGAACTTTCCTGCCCTGCTTTCTATTTATGGAAACACGTGCGGCATCTGCGCGATTCAGGTTTCCTTGTTCCTCGTTACAAGACTGTCTTTGAAATTCGTCTTAGAAACCTCAGTGGTTTCTTTTACCCACTGAAAGGAAATAGTTTTAAAATGTGGAACAGATAGATTACAAAAATACCAAAAGATGAAATACAAGAAAAGACTAATAATATAAATTTATTTATTTGAAAAAAACATACTAAAAGCACGTGTGAGTGTTTTCAATAAGTTAACAAATAATTAATTGATGATTTATTTATTTGATATATTTATTTGATTTATTAATTTTTTGAGTTGAATAAAACAAGTTCAGTTGCTTGTTACTACATGTAAGATCTGACAAGCCATTTCTTAGTGTGTGTATATATATATATATATTATATATATATATATATATATTTTAGTGCGTATATATATATATATATATATATATATATATATATATATACACACACACTAAAAAATGGCTTGTCAGATCTTAGATGTATATATATATTTTAGTGCATATATATATATATATACACACACTAAAAAATGGCTTTTCAGATCTTACATGTAGTAACAACCAACTGAACTTGTTTTATTCAACTCAAAAAATTACACTGAAAGAATCGTTCCTGTTAAATTCATTCAGGTTGAATAATAGTTAATTTACTTGTTACCACATGATGAGCCCTTACATATATGCGTATATATATATTTTATGTTTATATAAAGGAACAGTTTTGGAATGCAGAATACATTAAAACAAAATCCTGCAAAAAAATACAAGAAAAGGATGTGAAATAAAAGAAAAGTTTAATGAAATTAATTGAATTTACTTGAAAGAAAGTATATTTAAGCATCTTTTATCTATAAATTTACAGGAGGTTGGTTCAGTGGTTCATGCCCGCTGTTCCTCCACCTCTTACTCACTACATCATTAACTCACTATGCACAGCATAGTGTAAATGCTTGAGTTAATAAGTTGATACTCTTCACAACAAGTAAAACACTTTGTGCTCTGATTAGATCAAAGAGAAATTCTAAGAATGTTGCTAAGTGGCAGACACTGGATGAGTCTGTGTGACAGCAACGCCTTTGAAATACATACCATTCTCTAGACAATCATCTAACCACAATGTTTTTCTCACTGGAGAAACAGAAAGAGATGATCATGGTGGAACGCGGAACAGATTCGAAAAAAAATGAGCATGAAATAAAATAAATCATGCAGTGTATCTTGCTGTTAATAAACTCATAGGAGATTGTTTCCATGTTCTGTCCACTCCACCACCAAGTTCACAATCTTTTATAACTTAACTAACACTGCAATTTTTAGTCATCAGGCTTTTCTGCTTGTCACAGTACTGTCATCTGGGCACATGTGACAGTGAACATGTTGGACGACTGTTACTGTACTATAAGTAAGGTATACAGTACAGTATACAGAACTGTCTTACTGATGTTAATAACCCTTGGATGTGTGCCATAGTAATATTGAGGATTTTAGATGTGCAAATTACACAAAAATAAAAACAGCTGTAACGGTAAAGAGATAATGTCCTATCTTTATTGTATGTTAATGAGCATGTAGGGTCTCCATTGTAAAAATGGCTCAGAACTAAAAGACAGTGTTAAATATGATGAAGGACAAACAGCTGATCAGCTCATTATCATTAACATTAGCTCATTAGCTCATGCACAGTTGTTTGTATATATGCACTGATTCTTTTGTGAAATAAGAACCTGTATTTACATACATTCTGTTTCCCTTTCTGTGTTGTAGATTAACCCAAAATGAGGTCGCTGCTTCCCCTGTGCTTGACCGTCCTGCTCTTTATGAGTAAGTCAATTCACTGAACGTTACAGCAGAAGGGAGGTTAAAGGTCACCGGAGTGTCTGCTACTAGGCTTTGTTTACATTTATACTGATTCTATCTGTCATTAGATTATCTAGTAAAGCATGTTTGCCTTTGTATTGTATTGTAAAATACGCTAACCGTCCACTTTATTAGAAACACTCACTTGCAACTTTATTAGAAACACCCACCTTGCGCTTCCTTGCACTGGCCACTTTATTAGAAACACCCACCTTGGGCTTCCACTCACTGGCCACTTTATTAGAAACACCTACCTTGTACTTCCACTCACTGGCCACTTTATTAGAAACACCTAACTTGTACTTCCACTCACTGGCCACTTTTTTAGAAATACCTGCCTTGTACTTCCACTCACTGTCCACTTTATTAGAAACACCCGCCTTATACTTCCACTCACTGGCCACTTTATTAGAAACACCTGCCTTGTACTTCCACTCACTGCCCACTTTATTAGAAACACCTAACTTGTGCTTCCACTCACTGGCCACTTTTTAGAAACACCTACCTTGTGCTTCCTCGCACTGGCCACTTTATTAGAAACACCTACCTTGTTCTTCCACTCACTGTCCACTTTATCAGAAACACCCACCTTGTACTTCCACTCATTGGCCACTTTATTAGAAAAACCCACCTTGTGCTTCCACTCACTGGCCACTTTATTAGGAACACCCACCTTGTGCTTCCACTCACTGGCCACTTTATTAGAAACACCCGCCTTGTACTTCCACTCACTGTCCACTTTATTAGAAACACTGACCTTTTTCTTCCTCCCACTGGCCACTTTATATAACAGAAATCCATATATATGCTCGTATTTGTCATATATTTGAAATTCATATATCAGATTTCCTTATGTTTCTTTCTCAGATTTCCACTGTATATGTTTAATAAATGTCACATTTATGAGGTTGTGGAGGTCAGTCAGGTTCATTAATTCTCTCTCTCTCTCTCTCTCTCTCTCTCTGTCTCTCTTTAAAATTAGGTGAGATGGTGAACTCCTCATTTGGTAAGTTAACTGACATGTACCAAATTATAAAAAAGGAAATATTAATTTACATGATTAATTTAAATGCACTCCATTTATAAACCCTCTTCAGATTCTTTTCCATCATGTCCACACTGTAAAATAAAAAAAAAAGTTTGTCAGTTCGACCTAATAAATTGCTCGGTAAACAGTTAAACAGTCTAATCTTTGTTGATCCTATGAGACTCATTAGCTGACCAAGCTTCAAAAACAGCCTTTAGTTATTTATTAATAAATCTTTCTAAAAACAGTATTAATTAATGTCTCGTGTTCCTACACGTACAGTAGATGTGTTCAGTGGTTCGTGCCCACAAGTTCACGTTCTACCACATTCTACCAGCTTCCCTTAGACATTCTATTGTGGAGTGATCCAACCACTTCTCACCTATTCATTAACTTTAATTATACACAGTGCAATGTAGTTGCTTGGGTGGAGATAATAACATATAATCACATTCCAACCACAATGTTTTTTGCCCTGGAGAAACTGAAAGAATTGATTATAGTGGAGTGTAGAATAGATTTGAACAAATTAACATTAAATATGAGAAACCATGCAGTATATCTCACTATTAATAAACGTACAAGAAATGTGTTCCAATGTTCAGTGGTTACTCCACCACCAGGTTCACAGAGTTTGATATCTTTAGCTAACATTACAGTTTTTATTCATTAGGGCTGGAAACAGTTTCCATTCATGAGCCAATCTAACTGTAGAAAGACCAGAAAACCACAAAGTAGGTCAGCTAACAAGCTTATGTTGTCATATATAAAAACTTCTTCATGTCTTAAACTTATTTATTTGCTAGAATGAGAAACCAAGCTGACCTGCTGGTGATGAAATGAAATCTGGAGGAAGCTTTAGCTTAAATGTGGCATTATAGTTAATATGCTGTAAAGAAACTCGTACATTTGCAAAGAAGTGGAGGTGAATCAGTAGTTTACAGTTCATTCAGTCAAACTCTCTCTGTTTCTCTCCCCCTCTTAACATTAGGCGATGGGTCAGGAAGAAACGGTAAGTTAAATGTTGTTTCCTTGTGTACAAATTAAAAAAGAAAAGACTGTCACACAGTATTCATTCTCTCTCTCTCTCTCTCTCTCTCTCACGCACACATTAGAACACGGGTCAGGAGGATTTGAAGATGGTAAGTTAAATATCATTTCCTTGTGTAAATTAGATTGAATAAAAGACTACATCAAATTTCTGTGCATTTTGATTTAGAAACACTAATGCTGTCGCCATACACCTTGAAGGGCCTGGGTTCGATTCCCTGGCCAGGCGACCAGAGTTTCTGTGTGGAGTTTGCATGTTCTCCCCATGTCTGTGTGGGTTTCCTGCCACAGTCAAAGACATGCTTTAGATAATGTGTGTGTGTGTGTGTGTGTGTGTATGTGTATTTACACACACACTGCAAAACATGTCACCATGGCAAGTAAATCTAGTGTTTAGGTTTTTTTGAGATTTGAGATTTCCATGTTCAGATTGTTGCATGTTTTCCAGATTTTTATTACTTATTTTAAGTAATTTTATCAAACAAATCTATCTCACTATATTGGCAGATAATTTTGCATCATTTATATTTATATTTGAACCATGTAAAATTATATGCCAATATATTGATATGATGGTACTTTTTAAAATTGCCTCAAACAAGTAAAAAATGTCCAGAAATAAGTTTAGTAGCCTTAAAATAAACTGGTAGAGAGTAGGTGGAAATAAGTTTTTGGGTAGGCCTGTGTAAAATATATATATATATAATATATATATATATATATATATATATATATATATATATATATATATATATATAATATATATATATGTATATATACATCACTGTTGTCAGAACAAAACCTTGTATCTCCAAAATGGTAACTTTACAGGAGAAGGAAAAAACCTACTTTTCTTGCAATGTAAGTCAATGGAACCAGACTTTTTTCTAAGCTATTTTAAGCCATTTCTTTTGGTGCATTCATCAAGAAATTTACAAACAATGTAAAGGGCAACAGGTGCTTTTAAATTAGGTCAAAAACTGTAAAATGACAAAAACGGAGATACAATCTTTTGTTTCCGACAACAGCGATATATACACATGTTGTTGCTGTTGGGACAAAACCTTGTATTTCATTTTTTGGCATAGTTTGAAAAGGCCAGCTGCTCTATATTTTGGCTCAAAATCTTGTGATGATTGGACTAACAGAAATGGTCCAAAATTACTTGGAAAAAATAATTTCTCCATCAACTTCTATTAAAATCCAAGAACATTTTTCCTTATTCTGTAAAGTTACATTTTTGGAGATACAAGGTTTGGTTCTCATGGGGCCCTAGGTGGCTGCCTTCCTTTGCCTAGTGCAAAGGTTACCCCTGACCAAACCCCAGCTAATCGGACTCTTACAGTAAACTTTCTTATGCTTGTTGTACCCCATAATGTGCTGGTAACACAGAACACAACTGTTTAACTACCATTCATTTCTCATTGATTGCTAATATAGCCAGCTAAGGAGCTTATCACGTTACCTAACCTGAGCAGCTGGAAATAAAGCATGCTGACAACATTACGAGTGATCAAATAAAAAACAAGTTATGGGTTTGCATTTTACAGGCATAATCTGTTAAACTCATATTTATATCATAGCTGTGTTGTAGATCAGCCTGTAGTAACTTATGTGTGTTGTGTAACTGAACATCTCCAGAAGTTAAAGTCACTCTGGCTAATGTTAGCGTAGCGTCTCATACAGTTAAATCACATTTAGTTAATCATATTCTCATAAAGTTTTTGAATGATGTTGAAGGGTATTAATATGAAGAGTACATTACAAAGAAGTGGAGTGAATCAGTAGTTTATGGTTCATTCAGTCAGACTCTCTCTGTTTGTCTCCTCCTCTTAACATTAGGCGAGGGGTCAGGAGGATACGGTAAGTTAAATGTCATTTCCTTGTGTGCAAATTTGATTAAACACACTTTCTGTTTATTTGCTGGAATTCAACATCAAGCACAGGCCACCTTTTATGCTTTATTTTCCCAGTATGTTAAACTCAGCAAATAAACAGTAATTGTGCATTAAAATGTGCAAAAATGTATTGCCTGTAGAGGATGTGTTCACTTATTTTCAGTGAGTTATTACTAATTACTAATTTTTCCTTATGAACTGACTTGCTATGCCATTATTTTGCAATAGTACATCATACTTTGCAATATGAAGTCAGACACAATCTCATTATTTTTAAATACTCATACTCTAAGTCATTATTTTGGAACACTTTCTCATTGTTATAAGATACTAAGTAATTCATCTGAGACACTATCTAATTATTTTAAGACACTACCTCACTATTTTACAATATTAAGTCACTTTTCTGAGACACTATCGCATTATTTTGAGACACTACCTCACTATTTTGAGATACTAAGTCATAATTTTGAGACACATTATCCTCCTATGATGACAGGCCGCCATTCCATCACAGTATTTTGAGGTACTGTCTCATTAGTTTGAGATACTAAGTCATTATTTTGAGAGACTGTCTCTATATTTTGAGATGTTTTATGCATTTGAGATGAAAATCTAAATAAATGTAAGCATGTAAAAAATAATCAAAATAATGAGATTGTATCTCAAAATAATGACTTATCATCTCAAATTAATGGGGTAGTATCTCAAAATAACGATTTTATGTCTGAAAATAACGAGAAAGTATCTCAAAAAGATGACTTAAAGTGTATTAAATTTATGGCATAGCAAAAAACTAATAATTAGGTGGTAGAGTTTGTCATTTTAACTGGTGGGAATGGGCCTCCATTGATATCTATACATTCTTTAGAAAATCTACTTCTTCAAGCGTGTTGAAAAGTATAAATTTCAGATATATATTTAATATGATGAGGCGGTTAATCAGTAATTTGTGGTTCGCTGTTTTAACTCTTTTTGCCTCCCTCTCTCTCTCTTTGTCTCTCTCTCTCTCTCTCTCTCTGACATTAGACGATGAGGAATATGAACACGGTAAGTTGACTGGAATTTCCTTCCTTAAGATAATAATAACATTTCTCTGCACATTGTGAACAAATGTTGGAGCAAAGCATTTTCTTGTGAACTGGGCTCCAGAACCTTGAGTTGATAAAGGGCTCCCCAGTAACTGAACTCATCGCTCTGAGAATAGAAAAGCATCAGTGTTTAGAAAGGAGCATGGCTTGTCCTACTACTCTTTAATTGAGAGAAGGATTAAGGCAAGATGCCAGTGATGCTTCTAATGGGAGCCCTGCCTAGTCAGCCCTATCTAGGTCACGGAACTGGATGGCCTGGGTGTGAACGTCTACAAGCCAAGTTTCAGTATCAGTTACTAGAAAGACTAAGCCAGCCAGTAGGGAGATACACCGATCAGGCATAACATTATGAACTCCAGCAGCACTGCTGTGTCTGAGCCACTCGTACCAGCACAACACACACTAACACACCACCACCACCACATCAGTGTCACTGCAGTGCTGAGAATGATCCACCACCCAAATAGTACCTGCTCTGTGAGGGTCCATGGGGGTCCTGACCACTGAAGAACAGGGTAAAAGGGGGCTAACAAAGTATTCAGAGAAACAGATGGACTACAGTCTGTAACTGTAGAACTACAAAGTGCACCTATATAGTAAGTGGAGCTGATAAAATGGACAATGAGCGTAGAAACAAGGAGGTGGTCATAGGGTCAGGTCAGCAGAGGGTCTAAGAGGGGTCATTGTATTGTAAACTTTTTTTATTAAAGCAATCATGTCAGGTCATAGGACATACGGTGCAGGGTAAAAAGCAACAAAGAAGTATTTCTTGTCTCACTCTGACAGGGTCATGTTCCCTAAGTTAATTGTTAAATGGGAGAGGTGGCACAGAACATCTCTGGTTCATAAATCAGCCTTTCATAATAAAGTATTTCAAAACAAGCCCATTCCAGCTGTATTATGAAATCTGAAATCTTTGTGGAACTGATCTGGTGTGGATCAGGTGCTTTCATTAAACACCAAGTTGCTCCATCTTGTTTTTTCTTAATTAAAGACTGACTTGTGTTTAAAAATTACACACTCCCAGTTTATTGATGCGATTGTGGGGTGTCTGTCTCTCATTAGAAAGGTGTGAGCATCTGCACTGCACCCGGAACGAGGTGTGTAAGGAGAGAAATGGCCATTTTGGCTGCGCTTGTGGAAGGCACAATCCAAAGCCCAACCCTGATTCTTTTGGTACGTGTTATTTACATTTCTTTGTTCAGTTATTTGTTACCCCTAGTTTAGTCGTAGTTAGTTCCCTTTTACATTTATCCTATGGTACTACGTGCACTGTGAGCCCCTTTCTTAGTGTTATTCTCTGAAGTTCTGGCATTTTCTGAAATCTTCAGCTCAAAAATTCCTTCACCTTGTCATTATATTGTCATTTTGGCTGTTGACTCCGTTTGCTCCATTTTTCTCAGATGTCCATGAGTCATGTCAGAGCAGCTCTGGATCGGTGTCTCTGTCCCGCTGTCAGCTCTTTGATGCTGGATTTCCTGCCGAGTACCTCCACCTGAATGATCGCCACTGCAAAGGGATGATCAAGGACGGCAGGGTGGATTTCCATTTCGACAACCATGAGCACGTCTGTGGCACAACTCTGGAGGTACAACAGTTTCTCCTGCCGAAGAAAATAAGAATTTCTACACAAGATTTTTTCTGTTAGTCTAATCCAATCTTTAGTAATTTTTTGCTCCCATTTCTAACAATTGTAAAGATTTTTTTGCTGATCCTTATTTTTGGACATTTTACATGTGTTATACAGGGAGATTCACTTGAAAGAGGCCTTGAATATTCTGTTGTAACTCCCGTTAGAATGAATCAATCTGAACAAAAAAATACACTACACACCTTGACGTATGTGTAATCGATTGCATTACATGCGGTGCTGGAAGTGGATCTATATTTTCTGCCAGACACATGAAGGGGTACGGGGGGGTCTGCACCCGGAAGTTGCAAACAGAGGTTAAATGTCGTGACGGCTGTCCGGCACCTACCTCATCGCTCCGACGCAGGGGCATCCCAGTTTGTTCAAAGCTCCATACACTGAGGAGCACATTGCACATTGCTTCATCCTAGCGAGAGTTATTACAGAATATTCAGGGCTTCTTTCGAGTGAATCTCCCCTTATTTCTACATATAAACTATATTTGAGATCTCTTTGCCAAGAGATTGGCATATATAATAATTTTAGTCAAAACAAAATAACTCTAATTATATGCATTTGGTCACCCCCCATCAGACATGCACACTTCAAAAAAATGTATAAAACATTTTGTAGGCCAACGTCATTGTATGGCAAAAAACAATGTAGCCAACCTTGCGTCGCACATTTATGAGTCCACTGAGGAGAGTCCACTGGAGAAAGCAAATGAATAAAGCACTATAGTTGAAATGGCTGCAAGATGCACAGCAGGTTTAACCAGCAACACCCTTTCCTATAAAGCGTTTACTTACGACGGGCACAACTAAAAGAGAAAAGTTTGGTTTTTTTTGACGTTTTGGCTTTGGAAATGGTTCAGTCAGGAACTGCTAATGCTTGACTGAGGTAATGCCAGAAAGTGACAGCTGTTGATCAGTGATTGGAGGGTTCAGAAAAGAGAATTGGGTGGGATTAGAGTGTGCGTCATTGTGTTGTGGGCTGTAGCGCCTCTAGAGGTGGCAAAGGGGTGGCACGGAGTTTCAGCAGGGTGGCAATGTGATTGTGTTAACCTCCAGCCAACAACAAAGGGGTTAGAATGACCATGCCCACCCCCCAACCACCATTGATTGTGTGCAAGAATTTGATTGGCCAGTAATTTTTTTGGCCACAATACAATGACAACACTAGAAAACACAAGAAAATTAGTTAGCAAACAGCAAATCACTTTTCTGTTGGAAATACGTCAGGTTGGTTGATCAATCTGGTAGGCGGCTGTAAAATTTATATTATTTTTTCAGTAAAACTCAGGATTTTTCCTGATTCAGTATTGTTTGTTCTTATATGTACTAAAGGCCCTTTTGTATAAATCCCACCAGGGCACTCGCCCAGTTAACCTTAGTGGAAGATCCTGCCATGTTGGTAGCACAGTGGTTTACTACTATGGGTTAATAAGGATTTCTTCAAATAAAATCAATTAGCCTCATAGCTCGTGAGATCAGAACACAAACTGAAAATTACTTTTCCTTAAGCCCACTGTATGTATCAGTTGTCTTTAAGTCAAATTCACACTTAATCATTAATCACATCACAAAGCAATTTTCTCTTTGTCTTATTTAACTGATATTATATTGCAAAGATTTTGTTTGAATTTCTGGCACTGGCAAGAAAACCAGAGCCCATGTTTTGCTACATGAAGTTGTAAAGGAAGAACATCTAAATACTTCTAGATACTTTTCCTGCAGGTTTCAGGACTTCAAAAATAAGATTTGTGATTTAAACAAGTGTATGTTTTTTATGATTCAAGTGTGCAAGAATAAATATAAGGAAAGATCATCAACAACTTCCATGATTTCACCAGGAAACGATTATGACTAGCAATAATTACATTTCATAAAATCCGATCCTCTCTCTGTCTCTAGACTAACAAAACACACTTCATCTACAAGAACGCCGTTCAGATGGTTTACGGCCCGGTTCATTTGATCAGTCGTGACAGCTGGCTGGCCATTAACTTCTCCTGTGTGTACCCACTTATCAAAAGCATCTCCATGCCCATGTCCATCTTGGCCAAGGAGAGGTAGCAATGTTTCTGTCACCAACATCTCATCTTTGCATAAGTCTTGGTTAAAAGTTCTTTAAACATTTGGCAAATGTTTTTGTCCACAGTGTGGTCTACAAGGATCTGCCAGGTGAAGAGGGCACATACCAGATCCGCATGGTGCCCTACAAAGATGCTTCATTCACACATTCTTACGGTGGTGATTTTGAGCTTGAAGTGAACCACCATGTCTTTGTGGGCGTGGAGGTGGAAGGAGTCGACAGACAACAGTTCTCCCTTGTGCTGGACAACTGCTGGGCAACTCCACACAATGACATCACCGACAATGTTCGCTGGGACCTGATCGTTAATGAGTAAGAGAAACATCTGAACTAGCTTGCTTCAGAGTTATAAATTTTAGATTAAGAGACCATTATTAGTCCCACAATGGGGAAATTTCACCTCTGCATTTAACCCATCCGTGCAGTGAAACACCACATACACACTAGTGAATGTACACACACTAGGGGGCAGTGAGCACGCTTCCCCAGAGCAGGGGGCAGCCCTATCCACAGCACCCGGGGCGCAGTTGGGGGTTAGGTGTCTTGCTCAAGGGCACTTCAGTCACGTACTGTCGGCTCAGGGGATCGAACCAGCGACCTTCCGGTCACGAGCCTGGTTCCATAAAATTTATTTATATACCAGCTTTCATACTTTTTTTGTTTTTAATTTAAATTTTTAAAAATGCATTTTTAGCTAATTAAAAGAGCCCTCGGCTCTCACTACAAACTTCCAACCTGCCTCTAGGTCAGATCTCTTTGAACAATGCTAAGGGACAGCTGGAGTTAAACCACACCTCCATAGTTTGGTGGAGGAGGGATAATGGTCTAGGGTTGTTTTCATGGTTTGGGCTGGCCCCTTAGTTCCAGTGAATGGAAATCTTAGTGCTACAGCATAGAATGACATTCTAGAGAATTGTTCCTGTTGGCGGTACAGGAAGTAGATAGTAATACTACTAGCAGTAAAAATACATGATGTTAAGTACATATTTGTGTTCAATTAAATCAAGTAGAATTATAAGGGATTATTATTGGAATAGCATTGGAGTCTCTAAAGTAATTGCGAATTAAGTGTTGGCAGAAGAAAGCGGTTAATCTGCATTCTCAGTAGATTTGATAATCCCGTATTTAAATTCTGACATGGTGTATATATGGCTTGGTCATGATTGAATCTACAAAGGCAGATGTGACTAGCTATCAGTCTAAATGAGAATAAAGTGATTATGGTTGAGCTACAACCATGCCTGCTCAGTGTGTGGTGTTCATGCTGTGTCCGGTTACAATTTGAATGGTTCCTCTGGAGCTCTTTTTTGGCTTTTACATCGTAAGCAGCTGATTTTATGTAGCTTATGTGGAAGCAAATCTACTATTTAATCTGCTATTTAATATTTAGCAGCAGAAAAATGAAAAGGTGACGTTTGGGCCAAAGTTAAACCTACATTCTAGAAAAAGTGCCGGGCCACATTGTGCTTTCTGGGGACAGTATTTTGAGACTCCTGCCATGATCTGTTGTTCCCTCTCTGTAGTCTTCGTCACAAATCTTCAATTCTTCTTTCATTCTCCAGGTGTCCCAGCCGTAGGGATGACTCAGTGAGGGTGCTGCAGAACGGAGTCTCGACATCCAGCCGCTTCTCCTTCAGGATGTTCACCTTCACTCACCAGTCTGAACACATCTTCCTGCACTGCAAGGTTCACCTGTGCCTGCGGACGAGTGGTCGTTGCGCACGGGTGAGCAGTCATTTGACCAGTTCTTTACTAAAATGAGCTTACATGCCTTACTTTTGAAAGCAGTGTGGGAATTTAGACAGTTTGTTTTGTTTATTTCACAAAAGAATAGCTAAAATAAAAGGATACACCAAAATATTTCACTTCCGCTTATCAAGTGCACTAACTTTTATTTCCTTTCTCAGTCATGCAATCGTCACCATGGGGAACATGGTTCAAGGAAACGCAGATCTTTGGACTTCCATGACACAGCTGCCATTAGCATGGGCTTCTGATTTACTGTTTGAAAGCTCCATTTATTATAATATAGCTCTATTGTTTAATCTGTAATTAATCAAAGTGAAGTAATTATTTACTCTTTTCCTTATAATCAGAAATACATATGTGATTTTGCTGTACTTTACTGCCTTAATTCTGTTAAGCATAAGCAATGACAATAAATTTCTCAAGCACTACGTGTTGTTCAAATGTTCATTGCAATATGGCTTGTGTATGTCAAAAACTTGGATATGTTAAAGGATCTGCAGGGACTGCCAATAGGTTTTTTCAACAGCGTATATGGAGCTAATGTGTTTACTGTTACACCAAACATCTGATGAGGTCTAGTTCTTGGTGGCTGCTAAAGGGCTACAGCATGTAGGTACCTTATACATCAAGTCAAATATTTGTATAACCCTTTAAGAGATCATGGGCCAGATTCATAAAACTAACGTTAAGAGCAAATAGTGTGGAGGTAACCTGTTTGCTGATTTATAAACAAGGACTACCAGTGAGTTTTACCACTTGCATGATGTGACGCGTGGCTGTTCTTTTGCTTAATTTACATATGGTCATAGCGATTCATAACAGGAAGCACTCTTGCAGAAAAATTACCCCTGAAGAATGCTGGTGGTAGTTTTCCCCGGAAAACAGTTTAAAGGTGAAATCAGCCTCTTGCGTGTGGAAAACAGGTTTAGCTTGTAATCCAAGTGGAGTCATTTGACGTGTTGAAATTCTAATTGTAGGTTCAAATTGATTTTGTTACAAGCAGTTTTAGTTTTTAATCCTATGTTTCAGTTTCCAATGGATTTTACAAAGGAATTCAGTTTACATATGTGAAAATGATACTTGCTAGTAAATACAAATTTCTTGCTAGTGGAAATTAAATTTTCATTAAATGCCTGAGATTAAGACAAATAGGAAATAAAAGCTAAAAAGGCTTGCCATAGTAGTTAGAATTTCAGCATGTCAGTTTTCAGTTGTGTGGGAAAAATGACTACATGTAAAACTAATGAAGTGTAAAAAGGCTTGAATTTTTACCAGTGAGAAATAAAATCTTATATGCTAAAATATAATTCCCACAAACACTATAATGCAATTTTTAACATCTTTACCAAACAATTAACTAATATTTGCAATCGAAACGTCCCTTTAAATTCATAGCTCTGCTACGAAAGGCGTAATTTCCGCCTGTTACCCCCCTGCAATGGACCGGCGACCTGTCCAGGGTGTTTCCTGCATTCTCGGCAATGACCACTGGAATAGGCTCCAGCTCCCCTCATGACCCAGAAGGATAAGCGGAGGGAACTCATCCTCCTCTGGGCTCTTACAAATGTACAAAAGTGGGATTACAACAGTATCACATGGATACAGAGAAAAGATTCAAGACTGATATGAAATTGCTGCCAAACCTCTGGATGATAGAGATAACAAACCATGGCAGCTAAGAAATTCGGTATGAGTACATGGCAGATTTAGAGATAAGCAGGTTAAAAGATCCTGAGATCATGATGACAGATGCTCCATGTAGGATGTAATGGAAGAGTGGAGAATTCAAGAGAAAAGACTGTTGATCTACGCAAAACAGGAAATAGCTACTAGAAAAGACTTCACCTCCAGTGACCAGTTCAAAGCCCTCAGCTCTACGCCTGCCTCAGCGCCACAGACAACAACTCAGGTCAGTGTTTTATTCTTTGAAAACTCCATCAACAGTAAAGTAACTTGCTTTAGTGGTAATGCTACTATCTCTTGTTTTCCAGGTGTCCAGATCTTGGATATCTCCAAGCTGTTTGCCATGGTTCTGAGCAAACACGAGGACGTCGGCACCGTGATCAATCACATGGGGGTGAACACCATTTCATCTCATCAGAGAAACGTCCAAAAGGAGGATTTCAGATTACATCTAGACACCATTAAGAAGGGACAGAGGCCGGGATCGTCATCTCAGGACCTCTGTCCAGGAGGCGAGATGTTCAGCAGGCTCTACTCGCTCCACTGTTGGCTCTAAGCCTGGTGCAATAACAAGGGCTTTGGCTATGTGAGTACCTGGAGTACCTAGAGGGGAATGACCGGCCTTCTACCGCAGGGACGGATTACAACCGAGGCACCATGGTTCTATTAACTTGTTCGAGAACAGAGAAGGTTCTGCACCAGGCTTGAGTGGACATAATGGTGGTAAACAACAGACAGGTAAGTAGTGTCGACAGCAGACAGCTAATAGCTTTTAATAACATAAACAATGGCTCCTCAATTTTTACAATTCCCCTCTTTCTCTGCTGTCAAAATACTAAAGCTTCTATTAGTTATGATATAGTACAAACAATTCTCACAATACTGCGGCAGTTTAATCACCACTCTTGGTGAAATTATATCTTTTCAGTATGTTGCGGTCCACCTATTTAGAGACACTTCTATGTTAATAATTGCAAAATATAGACCCCCCAAGCCAAATAGTAAATTTTGGCAGAAATTGCTGACCTAGCATCAGTTGTATCCACAAACTATGATAAAGTCTCCTCTCTCTGGGGACTTTAACCTGCATATTGATAACTCATACACAGCAATACTATAGAATTTATTAGACATCTAGATATATTTAGTTTGGAGCAGCGTGTGGGCAGTTCTACCTACATGCAGGGTCTGGTAATTAAACACAAATGTGTCCCTAATTTCTGGTGTTTTCACATCGGGTCAGTTCTCTGACTCTTTGAGCCTCTACAGTTTTGTTGTTCTATCTGAGCTATATTATGTTCAAGGGCTGTTAACACTTCTTGTCTTTCTGCTGTAGCACAGGAGGTGTATTGTTGACCAAAGAGTTTAATCTGGGCCTTTCCAACATCCCACACCTGCCTTAAAGAGTCAAAATCAGCTTTCCATTCTGACCACTGAGCACAAAAAGCTTGAAGAATGGCCAATTTTATTATTTGACACCAGTAGAGTCCTGTATATACAATGGAAGAACATATGGGCACCAAAAGGAAGTCACTACTAACTATAAAGGCCTATAAAGTGCTTATGGATTTGAGGTTGCATGTAGAAAACAGGGATTACAGGATGTTTACAGTAAATAAAGCTCATCCAATTACGTTCCAGTTCCACGTCTGTGACATTTAAATTCTGAAATTCTGAAGTTGAATTCCTTTAGTTTCCTACAAAATTGCTCGTCATCCAGGTGGCAGTATGCCTCTTTTTTATAACCAGCCATGTTCTGTGAGACACTTTTACCTTCTTTTATCAGCAAGTTTAATGATGATATCAGTGTCTCTGGGGAGTTCCTGTATGGCTAGTTTCTTATTGAGATTAATATCACTCTGCAAAAGGTTTAGATGAAAGGATTCTAACACAAAGAGCTGCATTTACTTCCAGTTTTAAACACGGATTTATCAGATCCTTGTGTTCTGGATTTGCCAAATATGTACCTCAGTTTAACCTTGCTAAAAAAACTAAATAGAATAAATCTGTTCTGATTTCAAAAGAAGAGCAGAATTCCTCCCACGCCTCGTCTTCCTCTGTCTCTTCCTCATTGGCTGTTTTTCATAGATGTTGCCTCCCAGTTGAATGCTGATAACTCCAAGAAGAGAGACTCAGTAGGGGGCTCACTGTCAGCCATGGTGGTATCAGAATGGCGATTAATCTGATGTCTCTCAGAGGGAAAAGGAGTATGGAGTTAGATTTGAGCCAAAATGTATTGTATTGAATTTTAGTTTGAAGGTGTACATCAGCTGTTTATTAAAGTGCAAATATAAAAAGTAAGTGGAGTCTTATTGCATTTAGTGCCATTTCCAGATGTGCAAATTTGCATTTTGCCCACATTTTGTACTTTTCATTTGTTCAGATCAACTTGTACAAGTTTGCGTTACTGTTGCACTTCTACTGGAACCACATTCGTACATTGTTCCTTGAAACCTGAATCTTACTTGTAAAGCAGGGGTGTCCAATCTTATCCGCAAAGGGCCGGTGTAGCTTCAAGTTTTACTTGCAACAAAGCAGACATCCAGCGTGTCCCAATTCAGGGGCTGGATCCTTCAAAGGATCCAGTCTTTGAAGGCGTGTCCTTCAAAGGTTGCTTAGACCCACGAAGGCTGAACCGAAATGAGACGGCCTGCCCTACAGCAGATTTCCTGTTTGCATCACAGCACCGCTGTTCCCGCCCTTGCCGTTGCGCCACAAAACACCGCTCTTGTCAAATTCTTTTAAATTATTTAAAGACGGAGCCAGAAACTTTGATTTTAGTTGTTTATTGTTTCATTTATTAGAGCTGGAGATGCTTTACTGCCGGCTACTGATGAAATTGTTTTTTTTTCTTTTTTAACATTTGTATCGTCAGCTATTCGACTCAGTTTAAACCCAATACTTACATTTAAAGTACGCTCCTCTGGTGACACTGCCATGTTCTTGAATCCTTGCTGGCACGCAGTGAACCTTGGGATATGTTGGCTGGCGAACGATGCACCCATTGGTTCCTTCATTGCCACGGAAAAGAGGGACATGTTTCTCGGCCGCATATGAAGGAGCCTTCGAAATGGGACAGACTCGTCGCCCCGCTGTGACACAATCATCCTTCAAATGCAACCTCCAAAGGATGCAGCCCCTGAATTGGGACACACTGATCCTCAGTTGTTTAAAGACTGTGACTGACTGATTAAACAATTGAAATCAGGTGTGCTCTTCTTGTTTGGAACAAAAACCTGCACCCACACCGGCCCTTTGTGGATAAGATTGGACACCCCTGTTGTAAAGTCCAAATTGTAGGTGTATTACACTCAGTTTGGAGTGTGTCTCTGAAAAACCTCCGTTTGGAGGGCCATTTAGCCTTAACACTCCGCCCCACCCCTCAAAAAAACATTGGGACACCCTAACCCTAAACATGAATGCACAAAACAGAGGGCTAAGGGCAAAGTGGTAGGGCCGAGGGGTGAAATGGGATTGGGCCTTACAAGAACCCACGTTTCTTTGTTCATAAAAGAGGACCTAACTTGTGTAATAAATTGATTAGAGCCCACATATTACCTCCATCTAAACAGACCCTCGTGGCTCCTGTTCAACAGCTAAACTACCCTTGTGGAAACTGTGAATAGTGTCATTATACTTGGAGAATTGAAGACTTTAGACGCCCTAGGACGTAATTTTCAGCGAGGGGAGTCATCACAATACAAAACATGCCATTTATCTGTTTATTTGTTATCAAATGTCCATGTGATAAATATTATTCTATATAAAATTCTATATTATTATTATTATTCTATATATAATATAAACGTTCCACTAGACGCAAATAGCCTGCAGTATTAACATCCACACTATGTAAAATGCACAAGCTGTGTCACAGGCTCTGTCTGGCCTGTACGTTTTTATGTGCAGGTTCTGAACAGGATGTGTGCAAAAAAAAACACTGGTATTTTTTCACAATAGGCTATACACACACAAGTGTATTTTCCAGTGTGCATTACAGTTACATTCACACAGGCAGTAGTAACAAATATTTTGGGGGGTCTGTAATGTTTTTATGCTAAATAAACCTTTGATTTGAATCACCTTTAAACACTTATATTTTCTCCATATCAGTTTTCTTTTTCATACCAAGATCTAATGGAGAATTGAACTTCTCCTAAACCTTTTTCTTGATTCTAAATGACACCCATACTTGTTTATATTTGGCTTTTTAAACATGTGCTATTTTTTGAAAGTAAATACATTTCGAATTTCGAATCTTTTTAGATCTCACTGTATTATTAACAAAATGTATTATCATTAATAACAAAAAAATTAAATATATTACGCCCTTATGCGCAGTATATTGGAGAGTTTTGAGCTGACACGGTAGTGTTTTAACCTGGTGAGCCTATGGTGTCACACGGCTTGTCCAATAGAATTGGTCAGATTATGCGAACAGAGATTGCTGGGGGGAAGGTCTCTGACGCTAAACCTCAGCCTGGCGCAGAGCAGGCTTGTCTGAAAGCATTTGTTGTCATGGTAACTGAGCAGGGCTTAAGATTAGCTTCTTTCATGTCATCAGGTTTATAGAAAAAAGCCTGGCTTGTTGCATTAGCA